GGTATGTGGTGGGGACTTGGTGGAGGGGGGAACCTAGTAAACATAATGTTCTTTCTGTAATTGTAGATTAATGATACCAAAATAAAAAAATAAATAAATAAAAAATAAAACAAAAATAAATAAATAAATAAAAAATAACAATCCTTATCTATTAGAGGTACATACTGATATATTTACCAATGAAATTATCTGATGTCTGGAACTTGCTTTAAAACAATCCCTCGGGGAGAAGGGTAGAGATAAAACAAGGTGAACCACATGTTGGCAACTAAAGCTGAGTAATGGGCACACCAGTGTACACTATGCTCTTCTCTCTACTTTGGCACATGCTTGAAAATGTCCCTAAACAAAGTCTTTCTTTTTAATAAAAGTAAAAGAGGAGTTACCACTGGAGTGGGAAAGGGAAAGATGTATTTCAGGGAGGGGCCTGTTGGAGGCTTCAAATATAAAGTTAATATTCTATTTCCCAAATGAAGTGAGAGGCATGCCAGTGTTTGGGACATATTATTCTATATATTCAATATGCATTTCATAAGTATACCTTTCCATTTTCTGAGTATTTATGAAAACCACAAAATGAAGGCAGGCAGGAAGGAAAAGGAATAATAAACATAAAATTCAAGATAATGCTTACTTTTGAGTCAGGAGGAAAGGGATGGGTTACGGTTAGAATTCGGTCATCGCAATCATCGCATTTACTTTTGACCTATGCTGGCAGTGGGCCCAGTTCTGGCCAGTGAGACATGGGTGCAAGGAGGTCTCCTAAGGACCTTCTGGGGAAACTTTTCCTTTCTTCTGAAAGGGGAAGGCAACAAAAGAGTTTCCTCTTTTTTCATGTCTTGCATGTAGACATGACACTTGGAACTGCAACAGTTGTAACCATAGATGACAAACATGAAAACAAAACCCAATAAATGAGCCAATATTTTTGTTGACAGCCCTGGGCAACCAGACCTTATAGACTACCTACGTTGCAAGGCTTCTTGTTAAGTATATAATAAATATCTAATAACTTAGGTCTCTGATGATTTGTTTTTTCTCTTACTTGCAGACAAGAGCATTCGTAAGTAATATACAGCTACACTAAGTCTCTTCTGGGTTTTGTTGTTTAAGATTTAAACCAGCTAATAAATCCTTCCTATTCTAGCCTATGGCTGCATCTCATTGGGAGTGGAAAGTAGGAGTACGCACAGTCGGCTTACTGATATCGAGGCTTTAGTGGAAGACTGGGTCCTGTGTCACTGTCTGCAAACCACACCAGTGTCTGCTGCTTGCCTTCGCTCTGTTACTCTCTGAAAGTTGACATCTATTTCTGTTGTCTGCTAAAATGCGTTAGCTAGTCTGACCCTCAGGAAGCCTTCCCCCTCCACAGTGCATCAGGTGAAACATAAGTTTATTCTCCTATGATCCCTGGCTCAGTGGTCCACAGGGCATCATACTGTGGCCTCCTGGCATCCCAGCTATGAGGCCTGTGCAGCTCCCCTGGCTTGCTCTCATTCCTTCTCTCTGTCCAACCTTCAGTCTTCCCAGAACACAGAAATGCAGCTATTCTTTCACATCACCTGGGTGGGTGAGACCCTGAGGCTGGCTTTCTGCCCATACAGTGCCCAGAGTCTACTGTCCTGCTCCCCTGCCCACAGTCAAGGCAGATGCCACTTCCCTCTGAGGACCAAGGTCTTCCTGCAGCCAGATTCACATCCTGTCATTGACAAGATCTTGATCTCAGGAGTTGGGCAGGATGCAGGGCTCCTCAAAGTCCCCATATCAGTGATGACTCTCCTACCTCCTCTAGTCTAGCTTTTCTCTTCTCTACCCAAACAAAAGCCTTGGTTTCTAAAACTATTTGTCTCTGTTACAAGTTTAAAAATCTATTTTAAAACTCAGAAATGAGAGATTTCTATTTCTTTCTCTTTGTATTCCTGCTACAGCAATCCTATCCATCCTTGAAGCAATGGCTACCTCCTACACAGGTATTTCTGTAGAAAAGTATATTACAAATGGTCCGTGGGTAGTCAGCAGCTCTTTAGGGCCTTTCAGTCAATCTGTGACAGGCAGGTGAGAACTCCCCAAGTTCTCATCAAGGTACCAACTAAGGAGAATCGATGCACTCATCTCAACTGCCTCTAATTAAATAAGCTACGAAATAACAACATGCACTTCAGGCTAAGAATTATGGGATGTTTTCCTTGTGAAAAACAGAAAGTCCAATTTCAATGCATATGATGGGCAGCATCTAATTGAAGCATAAATTATTTTCTTTGGACTTCAGTATGGCTTCTATTAATAAGTAGCTGAGAGAATTTATCTGATGACTTAAATGTCACATTAGCATTTTATGAAATTCAGAGAAAAACAAAAAATGTGGATCAGCATATGTTATGAGTTTTTTGCCAGAAAGTGTAGTCTGCCAATGGTCCTCTTCACTTTCCTATCTTCCTGGCTGCACTAGGGTGGCATATAAACCCTGCAGGGCTGCCCCGAGCCATGGAATGCTGGGCCTGCAGGCTCAGGCTCAGTAGTATTTGGGGGCACTGCACAGTCAAGGTCCAGGAGGAAAACGTTACCATATTTCTTCCTCCCTAAGCTCTTCTCCACTGTCCTCTCTGACAGAGACCTCCTGTTGCCGAGGAAGAGCCCGTTAAAGAAGCACTGCTTTCCAACGTGGTAGGTGTGGATATTGCTGCTAAACCTCGGGTAAAATGTCCACTCAGGACGCTGCCCATCTTCTGCAAAACATCAAAAATCCTCCCATTAGCACCGCTCCCAGCCTCATAATGCAACTGGGAAGACAAGAAGTTGTGAAAACTCCCCAGACACATCAGCTGCATACACTTCATCAACATGTACAGTTCCTTGGTTCTATTCTACATCAGGGACTGTGATAACCTTGGTGGGAGTGGGCACAAAAGGAGAGGAAGTGGGGAGAAAGCTATCTAAGGGACCCCCTTTTTTCCCCTTTTATCCATCCTCCAAAAATAAAGCCAATTTTATGGTTGGAAGGGATGTATAGATGAGAAGTTCAGAGATGCTTTATACGTGTTTTACAAGCATCTGATCCAACCTTCACTGTGAGATTTGGGTAGAAAGAATAGAATGTCCTTCAACCAGGGAAGGGCTGGCCAGCCATGGCAACTTAACCAGACAGAACATGGGGATAGCAGCAGCGACGGTGCACGTGCACACTGCACAGACACTGGGAAGGGTAGACATGCCACTCTGGCCAAAAAGAAAGGCTGCCGTGAGACCTCAGGCAAGTTACTGGACCTCTCAGTGTCTTTTTTTCCTCATTTGATTCTTTGCCTGTAAAATTGCTAAAGTGAGTTTAAAGAAATTTTAAGAGACCCCCTAAGAGCTCTAGGGTTGCTTGAGAAACACTTGGGCTCTGTGGCGGCCAAGAAAGAAGGCAGGTGTTGCAGGCAGGCAAGTTTGGGCTCTAATCCCATCACTCTGCTTCCTAGCTGGGTGTACTTGCATGGGGACTGAATCTCTCCAAGCCTCAGTTTCTTTCTGTAAAATGAATAGGTCTATATTAGCCACAAAAATATGTGTATTGACACATAAAGAGGTCTAGGATCTATTTCTTTTGGATACTATTTTCTACTAGTGAAAATACGGTTGTATACTACAACCTATATATACATATGTATGTACATACAAGCACACATACATTTCAAAATTCTGGAAGAATAGACACCAAACTCTTCCCAGCTATGGGGCAAAATGCAGATATTGTTATGGAATATGGAGGAGGGGTTTCTACACTCTACTTTATACATTTCTTCATTATTTTAATACTTTGCTATGGGACTTTTATGGATTTTATATAAAGGTATTATATTTTTGAAAAACATATAACACCATGTCCCCAGCAGAGCTGTCATGAAAATGAAGATGGAGCATTCAAGTGCCTGGCATTTAGTGGCTCTTCAGTGAATGGGGCCCAGCAGGTAGACTTCTGAACCTGGGCACAGAGGCATGGGGAGGAGGCCGTATGATTTACTCACTTGTCTGCAACTTAAGCAGGCTGAATTCCACAGGATATTTATCCTTTTGGACTTCAGGCAATGAGGCTTCAGAGGAATGATCAGAATGTGAGGAAGAGGATTTCAGATCCAAATCTGCAGCAGGGCTAGAAAGCAAGCAGAAGGATTCAGTTTTACTATGTACTTAAATTGGTATGTGGAACCTGATCCTACATCTTACCCTAGAATTGCCCTCATGAGAACTAGGCCTGCCCCCTTCATAAACATCCAAGAGCATAAAATACATTCATTCACAATTTGAGGGGACTGAAACATATTCAAAAAAGATACATGCTTAAAAGCAGTTCAGCTGTTCTTCCCAAAGTAGAGTTACTATATAACCTAGCAATTCCACCCCTAGGGATATACCCAAAAGAATTGGAAAAAAAAAAAAAGACACAGAAAATACTTGGACATGAATGCTCACTGCAGCATTATTCATAATAGCCAAAAGATGGAAACAATCCAAACTGACAAATTAATGCATAAACAAAATGTGCTATTTATATACAATGGAATATTATTCAACCATAAAAAGGAACAGAGTTCTGAAACATGTTCCAACGTGGATGAAGCTTGTAAACATTATATTAAGTGAAAGAGGCCTGAAACACAAAAGGACAGATATTGTATGATTCCACTTACATGAAATATCTACAACAGGTAAATTCATAGAGACAGAAAATAGATTAGATTAATGGATTAGGGTGGGTTAGAATACCAGGGATTGGGGAAAGGGGAGAATGAAGAATTGTTGCTCAATGGGTGCAGTTTCTGTGAGGGGTGAGGAAAATGTTTTGAAAACAGTGGTGATGGTTGCAGAACATTGTGAGGATAATTAATACCCATGATTTGTACACTTAAAAATGTATAAAATGGCAAATGATATGTTATATATATCTTACCACAATTTTTTTAAAGGGGAGTGATTTACTGACAAGGCTACCACATAGGTGAACCTTGAAAACATTATGCAAAATGGAAGAAGGCAGACACAAAAGGCAGACACCAATCATGGACTGGTGATTTATATGAAATGTCCAGAATAGGCAAATCTATAGAGATAAAAAGTAAAGTAGGAGTTGTCTAGGCCTGGGAAGGTAGAGGACAGGGTGGGGTGACTGTTAAAGGGTACAGGCTTCTTTTAAGGGTGATGAAATGTTCTAAAATGGATTGTGGAAATGGTTGCACAGCTCTGAATATACTAAAAACCACTGAGTTGTCCATTTTAAATGGGCGAGTTGTATGGTATGTGAATTATGTTTCAATAAAACTATTATAAAAAAGAAATGCATGCTCAATAAAACCTTTAAATGGAAATAAAAAACCACTAAGTATAAAAAGAAAAGGAAGAAATAATCAAAAACATATCTACACTGAAATTGGTTATAATAACAGAGCATTATGTTCAGGGCTGAACTTCCTGGCAGTTAAAGAGACCTACAACGAACTATTGTGAGTTACTGAAGCAGAAAAAGCCACCACTTCTTGTTTAAGTGGCTTTGCATTGATAGATGGCCTTGGACAATGTTTTCAAGTATATTTATTTCAGTTATTTTAAGCATAGTTATCTGCTATCAAACCATAGAATCCTTTTTCCTAAAAGGACATTGCTCTTATATTTGAGTAGCTTCAAAGCAACTTCACGGTGCCCATCACATTTGCTCCCTGCTATCAGTCCTGTGATAGAAGTAGGACCAATATCACCATTTCCATTTGGAAAGGAAATGGACTTTCAAAGAAGTTAACAATAAAACACACCTAGATGGGGCCAGAACCCCATCTGCAGTCTAACTCTGGACAATGCTGCCTAAAAATCATAGTCCAATAACTCACAAGTTTTCTATAGCTTGATCTCTGGTTTTAAATAAACAGATGATGTTGGGGGAGGTCATCAAAAAGACGTGAGGGCCAGTGAGCTGGGCCCCAGCAATGGGGTGCTCCTCTTCCCCTCCTGTCCTTGGAATGTGGGTTCCGCTTGCCTTCCCAACTCCCAGAGGCCACCTCAGGGGCATTGCCTTGAGGTAGTGATGTGGTGTTGAGACCATCTGGATGGTATATATGACTGAACCCAGTTAAGGCCTCTATGTAAAGTTTTAAGATTTGGTGGGTGTGTGCAGAGATCTGCTTATCTTGGGGCCACCTAAAACAAGCCTCGAATGTAAGTTCCCTTGCTTAGTAACCTGCCACCCACACCAATCTGGAGGGGTCTGCCTCTTTCTTTAGTCTCTCCCTGCCCTCCTCATCTGGGGGCCAGTTTCAGATTATACCTGGGAAGCTCTATCAACTTTCCTGGCAGGCAGGTAGAGCAAACAGGCAATAACGCAGAGCCCCTCCCCGGTTCAGAACATAGGATAATTATAACATTGAAGTGCAATGTCTCCTCTAAATCTTTTTTTTAAAGGCTTTGCTGAACAAACTGTGTAGCAAGGATAAATGAACCTTAGAAGTATCCACCTACTTTGTTTACTCAACAAACATTTATCTAAGTACATTTTGTGGCAGGCACTGTTCTAGACACTGAGAATCTAGTGTCTAGATCACAGTCCTTGCTCTCAGGAGCTTAGGGTCTAGGGGGAGAGGACAAGGACACGTAAACAGACAATTGCGCAGGAGTGGGTAAATGCAGAGTGGGAAAACGCAGGTCTTACCAAAGAGTAGTATAATATGATCTTAATTGTGTAAAATAAATATTATTTATATGCATAAGAAAGAGATTTTTTTCTCTTATACATATAAAAAAAATCAAAATGTCAGCATTGATTCTCTAAGAGGTGGGATAAAAAGTAGATTAGGGGTTGTCTAGGCTTGGGAAGGCAGAGGACAGGGTGGAGTGGTTTTTATTTTAATACTGTTTTTCTATTTTCAAAATTTCTACAATGAACTTAAATTACTTTCATCGTAACAAAAATTATAAAATATATACACAGAGAAAAGTACATAAAACAAATGCAATTTTACAAATAATTGTAAAACTAATATCCAGGACAAGAAACAAAATATTGCCAGGCCTGCTCCCCAGAAACCACATCTGTGTGTCCCTTCCCAGGAGAGGTCACCACTGCTCTGACTCTGACTCTTACGGTAATCATTTCTTTGCTTTTCTTTATGATTTATCCCCATGTATGTATGTATTCCAAAAGTATATAGCTTAGTTCCACTGGATTTTGAATTTCATAACAGCAAGCATTCATACAGCACCTGTGTGCCAAGGGAGGCTTCTAACCACTTTACATGTATTGACTCATTTAATCCTGAGAACAATCCTATGAGCCATTATCCCCATTTTACAAATAAGAAAACAGGTTCAGGGAGGTGAAGCAATCTGCCCAAGTTCACACAGATACTAACTGGCAGAGATGGTACTTGAACCCAAATAGCCTGGCTCCCGTATCCAAATGCTACCTCCCATACTGTTAGCTTCTTGGTCAGAATTTCCCCCCAACATTTATTGGACTCTCTTCATTCATTGGACTCTCACTTACTCTAGGTGAACAGATATTCTGCAGAGGTCTGGAGACTCACTGGCACTTAGACCTGCTTTGACAGAAGATAACGGACTGATCTTTTTGCTAGAGGATGTTGTATCGGCAAAGCATGCCTTAGATTCCAGAAAATCACTGTGTTCAGTACCTGTAACACATAGATAGTGCCATTTGATTATATTAATAAAAAAACCTTCCACTCCATCTTGTTCCCAGATTATAATTAATTAAATAAAAAACAACGAACATTTGTTGAGCATTTATTGTATACTGGGAATTATGTTAACATCTTAAACACATAATCCCACTTAATTCCTACAACAACCCACAGACACCAGTATTACTTAATCTCCCATTTTTCAGATGAGGAAATTGAAGTTCGGAAGGTTAAGCAACTTGCCTAAGATCACACGGAAAATAAACATTTAGGCCCAGACTTGATCACAGTTCTTGCGACTCTAAAGTCTAAAATCCTAACTACTATGCGAGACTGCTGCCCCTCCAGAGTTTGCCTACTCGGAATTCAATGGAAGAGATAACATCTGAATCAAGATGTCGATCACTGGACATTGAATTGAGCAGACTCAATACAATTTTCCAAAGGATTTGTTCATAGAAAGACTCATGAAGAGCCTGAGGAACTGCTCTCAGAAATTCGCATGGGCTCCCCTCACGCTGCAGTGTCGTCATTTATTTCTATACATGTTTCCCCCACCAGACTGTCCTATTCATCTTGGTAGCACCCAGAATAGTACCTGGCACAAAGCAGATGCTCACCTAACCGAGCAAATACATGTAAAAGAATTATAACTCCCCAATCACGCACAATTACAGCCTAGGGAGCCCTGAAAGGCAGGGCTGTCAGATAGGTTGTTGTCTTCCCTGTGCTGCACAGTCACTGTCTCATGGAAGTGCATTTGTACCCTCATCATTTTGTATAGGTGTGTGCCTTGCCTCTACTTTGAAAAAAATGTCAGATGAATGGATATTGCATTTCTTCAGAAATAATATCATACAGCATAAAAGTTTAATAATACCATGTACCCTCTGGTTACAAGAAAACTACAAAAAATAAGAGTCAGACTTCTCTGACTCTCCAGTACATATGTAGCCTGACCTTTTTAGCCTGACCACTCTCCCACCTACATGGTGCCACACGTATAAATGGTATATACCACGTACCACCTGCAAATTCCACCATCTATCCATGGCATTGCTACTCAAGACAATTTTTGTTCATTTTGTATTAACTCCCACTCAAATTCATACCGTACTCTACTGCTCTTGTCAATCCCAGACCTACCACCAAAACCTTTACTCTGAAGACTTTGTCCCTGACTCTACCTACTTTCAAGGTCAGCTGAGCTACTTCCTTTCACAGTTCCCCCTATTCTGAGGTTTCTCAGGTTGTGACATAGGGACCATCTGTATCAGAATTACCTGGAACCCTATTAAAAATAAAGCTTCCCAAGTCCCATCACAGACCCATTGAATCAGAATCTAAGTAAGGTCTGGGAACCTGCATTTTGAACAAGTTCTCCTTTCCTGTGGCTCCTGGCCTCACATTTGGCAGTGATTCTCCTCCTCTTTAAGTCTAGCTCCATCACTGCACCACATTCCACCCTGCGCCCTTCCTGATTCCCATCTGCACAGAATTCCCAGAATGCACAGGTTGTGAGAACCCCCTCAGGGCACATGTTCAGCCTGCAGTTTCCAGGGCTCTGACCCAGACCAACAGGGGAAGACCTGGGAGTCGCTGTGTTTAAGAAGCACCTCAGATGAGTTTCAGAGCCAGCCAAGTGTGGGAAGAGCTGTTCTGGAATATGCTGCAGAGCCTAGAGCAACCCCAAGTACCGTGAGGATCACCTGGGTGCTTGAGGTGTGAGTAGTTGGTGTGGAATGAGCCCAGTGGAGGGGCCAAAACAAGGATCAGAGCTGTGAACAGGGGAGCACAGGTCCCCAGCAGCCAAAGGAGTAACCACCCACATACTGAACCAGCAAAGCAGTGTCAACAAATACAACATAGACCACACTCTCTCACCACAGGGCAATACAATTAGAAAGCAATAGTAAAAAAACAACCAAAAAAACATCCATAAGCTTGGAAAGTCAAACCACACTTCTAAATATTTCATATACAAGAAGAAATCCTAATGGAAATTATGAGATGTTTAATGATCAATGACAAAGTACTGTATTTCAAAACCTGTGGGATTCCACCAAAGCAGTAATTAGAAACTGGAGCCTTAAATGCATGCACTATATTTCACTGAACAGAAGACACCATCAGTTATAATAACATTATTATTTTATGTACCACAAAGAACAAAGGCGGCCAATTAATATTACACAATGCTTTATCACTTAGAAATTTTATTTTATACTTACTGGAGCATTCTTTTAGACTTACTTAGATACAAATTTTAGTCACATGTCATTCATTTGCATATAAGCAAGGAAGATATAAGCAAAATGAGTGGTTAGGGTATTCTTAAACCTACTCACATTCCAAAGTCTGATTATTGAATCATTTTAACCTCACTCACTAATATCTGCATTTCCCACCTCAGAACAAGAACTCAACAGGAAGAGTCAAGAAGAACACAGATAAGGCAGCATTCCTGAAATGAGTGCGCCCCTACTGCCTCTGGAATTTTCTTCAAAGCACAGACACACCTTCTGCATTATTCTGTGCTCATATAGCAAAGTTTATGACAACTACTTCACATCTGCAGCTGGGCCCATAGCACTGGTTAGACCAACCCAACTTCAGAGACGCAAACTGTGAAAAATGTCCATCTTAGAGTCAACAGGTTTTAGTGCTAATAAAGATTCCTAAACTAATGAACTAAGCTTACAATTTAATGAATAAGGGAAAAAATATATACCCCAAAAATGACGGGGAAGGAACTGATCAAATAAAAGCAGAAATGAATAAAATAAAGAAGACTATGGCTTCATGGAAAAACTAATGGTGTAGATAAGCAAAGTTCAAGAAAAAAATTTTTAAACACAAGAAAGCAGCATTAGGCATGAAAAAGAAGTCAAATTTACAAATAAAATAGAAATGTCCAGCAACTCACTTAAGGTTACAGAGCTATGGAGTATAATTTATAAAATGTACTTTAATATTACAATAATCAAGATGGTACTAATACAAAACCTAACAGATAAATCAATAGAACAAAACACAAAATGCAGATAGAATAAAATTTTATATGATGAGTGACATTTTTATGTCACTGAAGAAAGGTTGAATTATTTAAAAAAATACTGCTGGAACAACTAATTAACCATTTGGAATGAAAATAAAATTAATTGGGAATTTCTCTTTTCCCAGATAAATTACTCAGAAATTACAGAGTTGAATGTGAAACTTAGAAAGATGTGCCTGAAAAAAATGTTGGGGGAATTTTCATATAATCTTAGAGCAAGGAAGTTATTTCTAAGAAAGTTATCAAATACAGGCAAAATGAAGGAAAAGATGTATGGATTTCAATACATATGCATTTAGAACTTCCATAGCAAACTATAAATTGAGGGAAATTTATAATACACATAATAAGAAAATGAGCTAGTAGTCATTACAAATTATGAGTTTTATAAATTTATAAGATTGAAACAAATACCCAAGGAGAAAAAAAAAATGGGCAAAAGACATGATTAGGTAATTCATTTACAAAACACCACACACACATACAAATAGCCAATATACATTTTGTAAAAAAAGTTCTTCCTTCCTAATAATCAAAGAGCTGAATTTAAAACAAGATACTACTTTTGCTATCCGTTTGCAAATACCCAACATTAGCACGGGTTGGAGGAATGGCATTTTTGCACACTGCTGTTGGAAATGTCTCCATTTTACTGAAGAGCAACTTGGCCATATGTGTCCTTCAAAGTCTATGAGAAGGGCAATTTTGATCCAGTAGTTCTATGTCTAGAAATGTGTACAAAAAAATGTATTAAGTTTATATCTAAGGATGTAGAAAGGAACCACACATGCAGAGAAGAAATAAAATCAAGGGCAGAGTTATCTTCTAGGTTAATACTCACAGGTAAGTTTCGAGTTACTTATTACAGCATTTACTTATGATAATTTTTGCCATAGGTTTTTAACAGCAACTGCCTTTTCATAGCATGTAAACATTTGTATACAAAAAATTGTATATTTGCCACTAGAGAATTTGAAAGTTCACCAAAGCAAGAATTGGTTGCTATGAACGGTATTAGAAGGGGCCCCTTCACAAGGTTTTTGTTTTGTTTTTTTAATTTTAGGGGCAAATTAAATGTATTACATAACCCTCAGCAGCCAGCAGTGAATCACATCTGCAAATTTAGCATACTTCCTTGTTTGCTTAAGAAGTTTTGTGTTGGCAACACTGTAGAAAGTGGCCTGCGGCTGCTGTAACAGAAAAGGTTGTCTGACCAGCAGGGACAGGAAGAGCTAAACTGGCAAATGGCACATTTAGTCTCTGCTGAACTGGCAAACTGATCTTCCTAGAGTTAACCAACTACAGGATCTTGCTAGAATTAACGCAGCTCAAACACAACCTGGAGACACTTAAACATGGCTTGCAACTGCCTCTCTACATCTCCACAGGTAGAAGAGTGCTGCAATTGCAGGTCTGAATCATCCTCTTCCAATACTAATGCTCCCATTGTATAGAGTAACATCAGTTACTTTAAGCAAGTCAATTACTTCTTGGTGTCCAACTCCACTGCCTGCCCCATCTCTCTACCTAGCTCACTAGGCTGTTGTGAGGCACAATCCTTCTTGTAAGGGTCACCATTTTTATCATAATTGTTATTCAAATATCCAGTAAGACATAAGATAGGACATTCTAGCAAATTGATGAAAACACTGTGAGGTAAGGAAAGATGATCCAACTAAAAGGACCAAGAGAAGATTCTGGTGACTAGGAAGGAATTCAGGGAAAAGGAAAAGGAGAGTTGAGAACAAAGTCTGTTTCTTCTGTACTATCTGCGGAATTCACAATAATTATTTCTAGTTCTTTAGGCAAGAATAGCACCTTACATAAGCAAGGCACTTTCACACCCATGTCATCTCAGCTGATTTATACAATAGCACCGTCTGGCTGGTGGGGAGAAAATAATGCATCAAGCCAAGGTAGCTTAATATGGATAACCTTTAACCAGTTTCCCCCTCTTGCTTATCTGCTCAAACACCCAACCTAAGGATCTAGGACAGTGGTTTTTAACCCTTTTTTGGATCACAGACTCCCCAAAGAGGCAATAAAAGCAACGAGTTCGCTCTGCTGGAAAAATGCATCTACACCCATGATCGTGCATTCATCTTCAACTATTTCCTGGTGCCCCTTCCCTCCTGAAACCCACAGACTCCACGTTAAACTGAGCTTAAGCGTGGTCTCCTGAGTGGACACACCCATCGAGCAGAAAAAGAAGCCATGGATCTTTGGGTAACGTGGTCAGAGGACCTCAGGGGTTGTCATTATTCTGATACCCCTAAACATGGAGAAACATGAAACCCCTCTATCCCACCCTTAAAAGAGCTAATCTCTCCTTCACTCCAGGTTAATCTAGAAACTGCAGAAAGGTCTGGAGCTTCAGTTAAAATCCCAAAACTGTTTTCTCTTTGCTGATCAAGCCACATGAGGCACTTTATGATTCTAACTCCTGCTTTACTGGCACCCACTTGTAGACTGGTGATAAATCATACCTCCCTCCTCTCCCTACACTTATGAAGAATGAGATGGCATACCCAGAACAGAGAAAACCAGGCACCAAGCTAAGATCTGATGGAGCAGAGATGGAACATTCTATATTTTCTTTTGGTAGTGCACAGACCACTCACCTGTAACAGTTAGAAGTCCATGAGGGCATATACTCACTTAGAGGTTTTCTGAGAGACTGACTGTTCTGCTCGGTGACACTCTAAATGAAAATGTACTACCAAACATCCTCTCAGCCTTAAAAACCAATTATAGAGCTACTATCCATTATTTAATTTAAACTTATCCTTAAAGTGTTCATAATTTCCACCTGAGCTATCCCATCCAATAAACAGTGCCACAAATTCACTAATACATGAGCAAAGAGGGGAAAAAAATGACAAGGCATGGACTTTGGAGGCCAAAGACTTGTGTCAAATCCCAGCTTCATCATTTACTGCCTAAAGCACTGGGCAGGTCAAACCTCTGGCTCCCTGTACTCATTTGTAACATGAGTTGTGAGATCCGTAGGCTGGGAAGACCTCCAGGGAGGTGATTTATGAGAATCTGTGCTTTGAACCGCTCTCCGCCTTATCAGTTCTTGGTTTCATATAGACATAAGCTACTATTCAAGTAGTTCTTTTACTATGCCAGCAAACTAGCCTTCTTTTAAACTACAGATAGTGCCTCCTGGCTCCGGTGTACTTGGATATGACCACCTAATCCACACCCAGCCCTTCCGGTTTCTTAAACTCAACTGTATTTCCTCTCCACCTTCATCATGCCAGTCTCCTGTCTCGTGAACCTTCTCCAGCTCTCTGCAGCAGGTCGTTCTGGAGTTGGGTGGGAGATGACAGCCCTGTGGACTCTGTCGAGTGTACATGGACTCACCTATGCACGCGTTGATTTTAAATATTACAAGCGACCCAGAGACAAAGGAAAGACCTTTGTAAGAACGTCATCAATCAGAGCAAATAAAATGCACAAGCCATTGAAAGTCATGAAGGCTGGCCTCTGAATTAGAGCCTCCCTCCCTCCCTCTACCGCGCGTGTCTTGGTGTAAGCTCCCCCCACCCATCATCCTCGGCGGTAGGTTTTCGCCTCCGAGCTTGAGCAGGGCTCACTGCCCCTCCACCCGAGGTCCTTTCTCCCTTTCCACCTCTGGGTCTTCCGCCCGCTTCCCCCAGGGGAGGCCTCCAGGGAGGAGGCTGCAAGATGAACGCACCAACTAGCAGCCGAACTGCCGGCGGCCGGGCCGAAGAAACAAGAGCTAAGGGCGAAGGGACGCGGCCGCCGCCAGCTCCCCGGCGGAGGCGCGTTCCGGAGTTGCCCGGACACCCGCCCCGGCAACGCGCAGCCGCGCAGCCTCCCCCTCTGCAAGTGCTTCATAGACGGTCTCCACAGAGAGACAGACGCTCCAGCCGTGGTGGGAGTCCTAAGCAAAGACCACTGGAAAAGTTACTCAGTTTCTGGATTTTTTTTAGTAATTTTTGTGGTTCTTCTCCAGGCAATTTTCCTAATTGAAACTGTAGCCTCTGGAAGCAAAAGCTGCAGATGCCCTCTTATAATTGGCATAGATCAGACAAGATCACCTGCCACTTACAGACCGTGTTTTCTGGGCCAGGCGTCCTGGTAGACGTTATCTTCCTTAAGCAGCCAGCTGCATTTTTCAAAATAGAATGCTGATTTGAGCAAAAGCTTCTTCAAGGTCACCCGAAAAAGCTAAGATTCATTTCCAAGTTTCTCACTCCAAATCTACGACTCTTTCCCTCATACTAACTTGAATTTCTCTTACTAATCTTTTCCAGCTCCAAGTCTAGTTTAAGTCCCTCAGTTCAAATTCAGATCTAATTTCTCCCTTGGTGAACTGAAAAAAAAACAAAACAACAATAAAATAAAATAAATCTAGATCCTGTTTTTACTTTTAATAACAATATTTTACTGATTAAAAAAGAAGTAAGTGCTCATTGTAGAAATCTTGGACATATGAGAAAGTAGTGTTAATAGCCATAGTCCACAATAAACCAGATAACCCCTTGGATATCTATTGCTGTAAAACAAATCACCCCAAACTCTGACTTTAAGCAACAACTGTATTATCTCCTTATTCTGGGGGCTGCCTGGGCTGATCCAGGCTGCTTATGCTTGGCGTCTCTCATGTGGTGGCAGTCAGAAGGTGGCTGGAGCTTCCTTATTCATAAGTCTGATGACTTGTGTTGGTCTCAGCTGGGACTTTGGGCAAATCACCTATAAATGGTTTTTCTATGTGCTTCCTCACAATGTGGCATCTGGGTTCCCAGTAGGAGCTTCCCAGGAAGACCAGGCTGAGGCTGTAGCATCTCCGTAGTCACAGATGCAGGGAGAGGGAACTTCAACCACATCTCTCCATGGGAGAATCAAGGTCATATAGTAGGAAGAGCCTGGGGGAGGGGAGATCTTGTAGAAAATACAACCTGCCACACCACTATAGGACTATATAGGAGCGATTTCCATCCTGTCCTTTTTCTATGCACATCTGTGTTAACATAATTGGAACTAAACTTCATATAAAACTTCCTATTAGGTTTTTTTAAATTGAACATTATATCCTGGGCAATTCCTCTTATTAAAAAAAAACACATTTTATCTGTTTAATTATCCTATGGTAGAAGAGGTAACAACTTTGTAATAGAAACGTTAGATGGGTACCAGCTTAGTTATTAATGGCCTGACCCAAGATGCTGCAGTCCTGGAGGGCAGAGATTTTTGCCTGTTTTGTTCACTGCTAGGCTATACATCAAGCATCTAGCACAGTGCCTGGCATATACAGGTGCTTAATAACCATTTGCTTAATGAGTGACTAAATGGATGGATGGACATTAAAATGGCCTGAGCTGAGACCCTCCTGTCCTATTTGCATTCTCCCAGAAGGAAAGAGACCAGATCCCTAAGAGACCAGGAAACTGCACCACCAGATTTCAAGGCATGAAGAACTACCTGCTGGTCCTGAGATTGCAGGGAGGTGGGTGAATTCCAGAGCAGAAACTCTCTCATCTTCCATGAGGCCGGGAACTGCTTTCATAAGCCTTCCATTTACTCTGTAGCTTCAAAACCTCCCGGGCCACTTTGCCTTCATCCCCTGGGCAAGTTTTATATGCCTCCTGCATAAGGCTCAGAGGTTTGGCGGAGCCACCTAAGGGGTCTCTAAGTGGCGGAGCTCCAGCTCACTGGGGGTTAGTTCTGGAAGCGCCCCGGCCCAGCAACCCGGGCAGCCAGGGTTGGGCAGCAGAGATGAGGGTGGGGGTGCTGGATGCATCCAGAAGCCCGAGGCCTCCTGAAGCTCCCAGAAAATCCTGCCGGTACAGCCCAGAGGGCAAGCACCCGCGAGCAAGAAGGGCTTGCCAGAGGGCTTGGTGCTGGTGGCTGTGCGCCTCAAACCAAGGCTGGCCTGGAGGTCACCGCAGAGCCTGCATGGGAGCAAAGGGACCTGACGCTACAGTGGGACCAGTCCAGGGCCCCTGAGGTCAACTCGACCTTGTCTCTGAGCTTTAGGGCCCTCCTTGCAGCTCTACAGTATGGGATCCTTGCTGAGCCCTGAGTGGGAGTCTGAATTAGCTGCCAGGGAACCTGGGACTCCAAGGCCACCACTAGTACGTACAAGATTTACATGCTTACGTATCGCATTGAAATATATGAAATTGCTGTTTTTATGTATCAAAAAAGTTGCATATCAGCAATTTCATGATTCAGCCTAAATGTAAAAAGCATAGGCTTCTAGCTGGTTCCGTGGCAAGGTCAGAAGAAGGCGGGCTATTCTTTAGATTCCATTGTCCCCCTCCGGCCTGCAGGGCTCCACTTTGGTTCTCTGACTGAGAACTGGGCTTTGAGAAGGGACAACAGACAGGAGGCAGGGTGGTGGAAGCAGGTGGCTGGGGCCGGATGTTGCAGGCACAGGTTAGGGAGGGTCCATTCTAAAGAGCTGGGATGCCTCCTGCCGCCCCAGACCCTTGAGAGCAGATGGGACAGCGCTAAAAATTAGGTGCCCAGGGACTTAGAAGAAACTAGACAGGTGAGGGGAAACAGTATCAAATAAATTCTACCCAGTTTCTCTTGGGTCTTGGCAGAACACAAAGTGCCTGCCACCGAGAGAAATTTGAGCCTAGGAAGATGGCATTACTTGAGGGCTGAGTGGTCAGGGACATTGGTAAAAATCCCCTTGTGTTTGGTAAACCTCAAAAGCTGCAAGCTAAATTAGGGAGGGGAATCTAAAACACTTACCTCTTCCCCAACGGCCCAGCAAACGGCCCAAGTAGGGGGCCTCTCGTCCCCAATGTCAAGAAAGTCACCACAAACCCTCACTTAACATGCCTGTTCCATTGGCACACACAAGAGGGCAGTGTAAACCAGGACATGGGAAATAAAATGTGCGGGGAGATTCTCTACCGCTGCCTTCAAGCTGAAGCTTCTCAGGGCCTCATACAAAGCGGGCGCTGGGAAAATGGGGTGGATTACTGATGCACAATCACCTTCAAAAACCAGTGGTAGGCAAGGGGTCTTGCCAAAAGATGAGGGAAAGGGAGCATTAGCCACCTCAGAACCCACTACCACCACCAGCTCCCAGTCCTCAAAGGGCCTGACCATCAGTTCAGGTCAGGAACAGTTACCAAGTACCTCCTATGTGCCAGACACTGTGCTGGGGGCAGGGGTGCAAAGGTGAGTAAATACCCAATTCCCCAACTGAGTGCCTATAATAGGCCAAGATCTTTGCATTCATTACCTCATTTAATTGTTACAATAGTAAAATACTATTAGAATCCCCCCCTATTACAGATGAGCAAAGACAGACTTGGAAGGACTAAGTACTAATCCAATTAGCAACTGGCAAAGTTGGAACTTAAACCCAGACTCCCTAGATGAAGAGTCAGGGCTCTCCCCACTGGAGCAGCCTTCTCAGTACGTGTCCTCAGCACTAAGAGGGTCCATTTGGCATCTCAGTACCAGCCAGGCTCTCACCACTCCCATCACAGGCTGCCAGACTGCCCAGGAGGGCCCCAGGGTAATGCTTGTCCCCAGAAGCACAAAAATCCCATTGGCTTGGATATCAGAGTAACATAAATAAATGATGAAGATTTTAAAACTATGTAGCATACTAATATATAAGACAGATGCACAGCGTAAGAATACCAGTATATGTGAATGCCTGCCTATTCTCTGCAGATCTGGAAGGGAGGAACTGGATTTGAGGGGGTTGTGGAATTCCCTGGGTGTCAGGCTTGCCCCAGTATGGAATGGGGAGTCACTGCAGAGCCTCCGCGGAAGAACCATGAGGCAAAAGGGGTGTGCGTTATGTATCCTCATATCCTCCCTCTGCCCTTCCAGGTCTACTCCCCACGGTCCCCACCCTGCTCTGTGCCCAGGAGGCTGCCTGTATGGACCTATCTATCCCCCAGCTCCCTTGGGAGACACTGGAAAGAGTGGGGAGGGAGGGAGGGAAGAAAGAAGTCAGTGTACTCATTCCTCCAGCTCCTTCCCTGCTGGGAGTCAGTTGTCTGTGCCCCTCTCCCTAGGGCCACAGTGCCTGTCCAGAGCTCTCCCTAGGGGCCAGTGACTGCCCTTCCCTAGATCCCCAGGCCCAGGGGTAGAAGTGACTCCCCACATCCCCTGTTGACTTTTCTAAACCCCACCCACACCTTTGTGAATAGTCCCTTTATTACTCTGCGGTTCCCCAGCTTGAGGGCGCCATGCCTGTCTTGCTAGAACCCTAATACTCCAGATGGATTAGTCTGATGAGATGGAAAGGCCTGTGGGAAAGGCCCTCTCTCCAGTGGCGTCCAGGCCAGAGGGGACTGATGGGATATAAGAAGCCAATCGAACAAAGAAGGCAACGATACTCCAAGACCTGCAGC